AATTCTGTTGTCCGTGATCACCGTAAGTGTATGATGACTGTCAGAAAGAGGGATGTATTTCTTTCAGTTCCTTTCAAGGGAGACATCCCCTTCGAGCTACTTTGCAGAAGGGTGTCGACCGCAGTGAATCAAATATATCCGGCAGCCTGAGTTCACATTCTTGCCCCTCATTACGCAGCGCATCAAAGATAGGCTTCTGGTTGAGTCCAACTTTTTGTTAAGTATAAATTCACCTGCACCTGCGATGCTAGGTATATTGGACACCAAATAAGAACTAAGGGCTCTTTTAAAGTGTTCTACTCTGTACCGAAGCGGACCCCAAAAGAGCTGAAAAGACATTTACTGCCTACGGTTGAAGCCACTGCAATCAGACGGCTACAGCCAAAACTGTGTAAGCAGAAGACTCTGCTGCAAGCCATCATCTTGCCGTGGGCTTAGCCTAGTCATGTGACCTTAAGGCAATTGACCCGTTGTAGTTTGTTTGATTTGAACCCCTGCACACTTCCTTTATCCGGACATTTACTACCTTACACATGCTGCCTACAAATAGCGTAATATTCAAGGGATTATTAGCATCATAATTGTACACCCCTGATGTGAACTGTCGAAAAGAAATTGCTTCGCACTAATTCTCCTTTTGTTTAAATGGGCATAACGTACGAGTTAAAGTGGAATACTTTTTAAGAACTGCAAGAATGTCAAAGAGTCACCAGCAATACACCAATATACTATCCTGACACTGCAACCACGCGACCACTACCGTTCGCGCGTGAGCTGAGTTTACTGCGAGGACGCCCGCCTCTACACGGATTCGTACCGGTGACCTAAGGATTGCAATCCTTACGGCGACCGGGCGATTAAGATCTAGTTTGAGTGTAAGTCAGTATTGCCCAGCTGCGGTGAATAAGCGTGGTATACGCAACATCAACCACTGCACGAGGCGCCGAATATTAGCTTATGAAACGCAGCGTAACCGCTACAACTCAGTGAGGCTATAGAAGCCTGTAGATTATCATACCGGTGTAAGCCAGCGGATGAGTTACCTGCTTTGTAAAACTCACTTGGTAAGCTGTTGATCGTCGACTAAGACCGGGATATGGCACTTGCTTCACATTTCGAGTCAGTGTTCGACACAGCCGCCTCAGCATTTCATACACCCCTATCGATGCCAAACTGCATACGGTAACATGTTCAGAGAGTGAGGTCATGAGATTGTTAATTAGTCTAGATTACTCGAAACCACCGGGACCGGATGGCTTACGTCCACTACTTCTCAAAATATGCGCTTATTTTCGCACCGGCAGTGATGGAACTGTTTAATGCCTCTTTGGCACATGGGACCCTTTCACGAGAATGGAAGCAAGCAATCGTACTACCATTGTAGTGAACGTGAAGCATTTACGCTTTCAGTATTTCGTGAATATGAGTAAAGAATTCTTTTCGGCAATTCTCATCAGACTCAAACATTACATGATGAGGAAAAGTGCTAAATGTGCCGGATTGGGCTGCGTATTGAACAGAATGTTTAATTCCACGGGTACAAATCAATAAATCACGGGGTCATTGGGAGTGGCAAGTATGTACAGGGGAAATCATAGCCGAAGTTGTAGGCCACGGTAGAAGCAAAGGATGTACAAACTGTTTTTGTACGCACAATTCTGGCTTGAGGTGGCGGATGTAGATAGCTTCCGCAATGGACAGAAGATGCATCCGGAATCCGCGCGTGAAACGTTCAGGAACAGCATAAATGACTCTAAATGACAGCATAAATGACGTACAAAAACAGTTTGTACGTCCTTTGCTTCTACCGTGGCCTACAACTTCGGCTATGATTTCCCCTGTACATACTTGCCACTCCCAATGACCCCGTGATTTATTGATTTGTACCCGTGGAATTAAACATTCTGTTCAATACGCAGCTCAATCCGGCACATTTAGCACTTTTCCTCATCATGTAATGTTTGAGTCTGATGAGAATTGCGGAAAAGAATTCTTTACTCAGATTCTGCCTCCCTTGATTCATTTCGTGAATATGAATTTTCTTCTTGTTTGTATCTTTCAACCGTCCGTTTGGCTTACTGGGAGTACATCTCGTTCGCTTTCGATGTCGCTGTAAGTCGTGCGGTTTGTCGCTCCTTGCTTCGCTAATTGACTTTCAGTTCCTTATAGCTCGTTACACTTTGGGTTCAGTAGCGTTCACTTCCGTATGCTCGGTATTCTTGGTTGGTCTTGCTGGTATTTGTCTCTACCAGTTCCTGAGTTCTGATCTACCCCGTTCCTTAAAGGTGGCATTAAAAGCAAGACAGAAAATTATAGACTAATTTACCTAACAAAAATATTGGCCTAACTTCCGCAGCGCACACTTTTTGTTGTATCTAATCAGGCGTTTCCAATTGTAAAATGGAAAATTGGAACAGGATAGGCTGATGAATCGCGATAGAGATTCGCGGGTCAGAACAAGACAGAAATTGAGCTGTCTTAATCAATAAATTGGTCGATCTGCTCAAGCAGTAGCTATCGCATTACACATAGACAAACATGGACACACATGGTCACGAGACATAGCACGTGATTTTCGACTAGTTAGGTGACTCCCATCACATGATGGCTGTCGGTGTGTAGAGCGAAAGCTGTCTGGTAGTGTGGTTACCGAAGGGTAGAAGGGGCGCTTGAACAAACACCCACTGTTTGCATAATTTAGGGTGTGTAAGCCTGATCACAATGGTTTCGATTGTCCGTAACATTCGTTCTGATTCGCCAATCTCTATCGCGCTTCACCAGTCTATCCTCTTCCAACTTTCTATCTTATACTTGTAAACGCCAGATGAGATTTATCGAACAGTTCTCTTCGGAATATTGTGTTCTAGCAATTCCATGGATATAACTTTCGAGTTTAAAAAGACCAAACAACCCAAGGTGTTCAGTGACTTGCGGATGCGAAGACCAACATCGGATTCATACAGGAATGCTTGTAGCATAATCAATATCCTGACGTAGTATAAAGCTCTTAAACGGTGTCGTGTACATCCGACCACTAATTCCCTCAAGTGCCATGATCATAGCATACTGGAAACCGTTCAGTCACGAATCCCTGAGTTGGCCAGTGTTGGAGAAAGTTGTTAAGCGAGCACTGCTTTAGTTTGCGAAATTATACAATGTGATCACAGCATTTCCTGGGAGGGCGGTCGTGTACTGCTAACCGCCAGTTGGCTTGAAGCAGTCAACGAAGGCAAAAGTGTTGCTACCCTGCCGATCGACTTTGGAAAAGTATTTGTTAGAGTGAATCACAGTATCCTTTTATCTAAACTCAATACTTGCGGTACGGGTAGTAATTTGTTGATATGGATTCAATCCTTTCAGCTCAGTCCGTTGAGGTCATTAACTACGGAAGACCATGGTTTACTGGCTCTATAGGTGTACCACAGGGCACAGTACCTGGCCATATGCTGTTCTTGTTTCACCACAATAATTTACCAGGACGCTTGAAACTTGCTTGCGTGCTATTCGACCATCATTTAAAAGTTTGGAGCGGAATATCGACACTGATCAATGAGGATTTACTGTAACGTTATCTTGGTGAAGTATCTTCATGGGCATAAATTAACTACCTCCCGTTGAGTCTTGAAAAATCCGAATTACTCAGCATCGACAAGAGTTGTCGTGACAGCACTTAAAGTATCGGTGGACGGCAGTTGTGCTCTGCTGCAACAGTAAGAGATCCTGAAGTGGTATACCTATGGGATGTAAAGTCGTCAGACAATGCACACAAACCTAAAACACTGAGTTCCCTGCATCAGTTTGAACGAAACAGTACACACAGAGTCTGTTGTTTCAGCCTCTGCATGATTTGTTTACTAGAGCGCACATTCCACATTTGGTCGGAGAAAACTGCTGTCAGACTAGACGTCCCCATGGTGCGCCCGCTATTGAAATACGGTGCACCGGCCTACTATCCCGACACAAAGGGTGAGATGAAACAATTGAAATGCAGCACCGATCCACTCGCTTAATCCCTACGCTTCGTGGCTTACCCTACAAAGGTGTCATATTTCGACTTCATACACTGGTATACAAGAGACTACAGATTGATATCAGAACAATGTTCAAAATCCTACATCTGAGCTATAAGATCTGCATTACGGATACACCAGTCATCCGAGGACATGGGAACAAACAGGAAATCGCGCGTATGGACCATGTATCTCATATTGTTTTGCTAGGCGCTTAATGCATTCCTGGAACTGGATGTCCAGTCTTATTATCCTCGCGGATTCCGTAGTGTTTCAAACAAAAAATTCATGATCATTTTGCAGACCTATGTTCCAATCCAGATGCCATGTTCGGCCTCTCGTCGCGTGGGTATTTTTCAGCCGCACCAGCAGTCTTAAAGGACCGAGACACCTAACATAGTGCTGGTTTCATGGTTTTATATCCGTATTTTGTGTGTTACTAAACAGCTAAATTGTGACCTCACACAAACCAACATTCTGCACCGGTCACTTTTATTTTTACTCTACTTATGATGGAGATGACACAGATTGCAATCTTATTCTCCTAATACAGTGATTCTGATTTTTAGCTGCCTTATTATCCGCCCCCGATGGCACATCAAAATGTGTCTTTGTAGCAAACCAACGGCTAAAAGTTCGTCGAGCTTAGCCTAGAATGCCACTGTCATTTCCACTTCTCTTTGCTTCCCCATTTCGTCTTCGGTGTTGTTACAACAGCCATCTCCCTGCGTTTTCACCTCATCCATCCACTTACCTCAGGCTCGGTCCTCCATCGATAACTGTGACAATGCCGTCCAGTTCGTCAAGAGGTGTAAGTCAAGTGCACTCTCCATCCAGCTCCTGCTCTTACTAGGTGATTGTGGTGAAACTAATCAGCCGCCCACTAAGTATCTGTTTGTCATTTCAGCCCCCTCGGTCCCTTACGACCCGTGTACGCTCTGGACACGGAAGGCCTTGGAACCCTCGACTGGATGCATACTACACCACCTAATGAACCTACGCTCTCCTGCTGATCGGGAGGCGAGACCTACTACAGAGATAACAGTTAATCGAGTGAGCTTTCTTTTATTTTCTTTATCCGGTTATGTTTGCTTAACCCTCTAGATCTGGGATCCGATAGGTCATAACTTTGCTCTGTTGCTCGCTGTCAGCTTCTTTACTCGAGCTTTACAAGTGAAGCTGAGTTGCGAACCTGTGGATTGACACGCTTAATGAATGCTTTCTTTTTGTTGCTAAGCATCGTTTCAGTGAGAGGCGCTTTGGGTGTTTGCAGTACTGATAGCTCATTCGCTGAATCCACTTATCTACTGCGATTTCTCAACGCTTGTGGTGCGATGAGTATATTAATCAGTAGGACGTGAACGAGGTAATTGAATACTCGCCCTCCTTATCAGCATCATGTGGTGCCAACGCTCGAGACGTTTTGCTCAACTTCATCATTTCTGCCACAGGCGCGACATCACTCGCATAAAAGGTTGGAGTCCATAATACAGTCGTCCGTAAAACCCTTTTGTATGTTTGTGAAACTGCCTTTTGGAGCGATAGACAAAGAGGCTAGTTGCGTCCAACTACCAGTGGGCACACCGTATGAGCAATGGTCTTTTCAGACCTTCCTTATTCTGTACCTCCAATTTCCCTTCATGTCTCTTACTTACTTCACGTAACTGGCTTAACAGGTATTGCTAGTGCAGGAAAGGTGGGCAGTAATTATTTGGCCAGGGTGTAGTTCGGATACTTCCTTTTAGACCCACCAAGACCTCGGAGCACCTTATCAACTCTTCGCTTAACTATCCGCCCAAGTAGGAGCACTCACTGGATTCTCCTATTCTTCCAATCTCACCTGAAGGTGGCCGTGTTCGGCGTCTTGTTTATGGCACATGAAGAACCAGCGAACCACGCATCCGTTATTTCACGCACCAAACTCCGATGGCTGTGCAAGGTGTTGCGCATGCCAGCACACTGGCTCCTGCGACGCACCACTTGTGCTACTGGGTTATAGATGAAAGAGAAGGGCATGTCAACCGATGACGTGGTCAGGAGAAATGGAGATCCTCACTTCGAAGTTTGCTTCGGCTAGAGCCTCTCCACTCCCTGGTTGAGGGTCCTAATTATTATGACTACGTATGGTTGGTTGACTAGTTGGAGAACGAACCACCATTCCATTTGTGTTGTGAGTTTTCTTATCACACCCAATTCCGCTTAGCTTCCTCTTCCAACCACGATTTCGTTGTTAACACATAATATAAAACAAAGCTTAAAAACCTTTTTTCCTTTTTATTGCTGTTATTTCTTTTTCTTTTTTAATGCTACTTAATTGAATTGTATTTCAGCACAATACCTGGGGTGTTTTCACCCTTAGCTAGTGTGTCAAATGCTGAATGATAGAGGGGGTTAGGTGGGATTGGGAAAGACAAGGGACTCACAACACACGCCTCTGCGGATAGCTCTTCGCCATGTCAACAAATGTTTAACCAAACGCGTTCAGCGTCTTTTGGACGCCAATCAATGAGTTGCAAGCTCCAACTTCGAGGGGAGTGCTTTTATCCCTCTCCTCCACTTTCATCCACACCTCGGTTGCCCAAACAATGCATGGCGCGGGGGTTGGCGTGCTGGCATGCGTGACACAACCAAACTATCGGAGCGTGGTGCGTGAAATAATGGTGCTGAGTGGTTCATTTGATCTTCATGCACCATAAACAAAAAGCCGAACATGCTCATTGTTCACGCAGTGTTCCCACTAGATGTGGGCCAAACTGCGAAGGCATCGGTGGTTGAACGCAACTAGTCTCTTTATGTCTATCGCTCTAAAAGGCCAGGTTTCACAACCGCATAGAGGGGTTAAATGAACGACTGCACTGTAGACTCTAACCTTCAGCACAAGAGTGATGGCACACCAGTGCCATAAATGGTGTAATTGAGCAGAACGCCTCGAGCTTTGGCTATACAGGTTGACACTTAGTCTTCTATTCCACATACACTGATACAGCTGCCCAGGTAATTGGATTTTTGAACGACTTCTAGTTGATCCCCACTGAGTATCAGTGCGGGGGCCGGTGTTTGCCAATCTTGGAGGAAAGCTTTGCATTTGGAGAGTGTAAAACAAAACCAAAGACGGATGACAGCAACTGCTAATTTGTCCAGTGTTAATTTGTACATTTGGTAGCTGCCACAGAGAACGCCAATGTCTTTGGCGTACTCCAATTTAGGAAGCGCTTGTAGGTCGTACCAAGTGAACGCAGTTTCCATTACCTCGTCGATGGCAAAGTTAAGAAAGAAACGTGACAGTGGGCATCCCTGTCTTACACAGCTTGTCTTCAGTACACTCGAACTGTGCGCGTAAAGCGCGGTTACCATACTTAAGTAGTTCTCGGAAACATTTTTCTTGATCAAACAGTTTCAAAGAGCACATGATGCAATGAATCGAAGGCACTTTTGATATCGATGGTAGGTCACCGATACATATAGTGGTGCTCCAACAAATGACATGAAGGGAAGTGGTGTTCAATGTAGCTCCATTTCAACGAAACCCGGTATGCTCTTTACGCATCTGGCTTTCACGGATGCCAATCAAACTGTGAAGAACGACAGATGCAAGTACGTCGCTGGCGATATATGTCATACTGACACCTTTACGATTGCCGCACTCCCTAGGTGAGCCTCTCTTAAAAATTGGAACTATGACGGAAAGTCATTCATTCATTGCTTCAATAGTCGCTTGCCTTCTAGTTTCAACTCACGCACTATCGCACGGCGTCGCTCCAGTCCAGTCGACTAGTCCATGTTCAACCAAGCGGACAACGTCAGTTCATCCGTTTCCCTTTGGAGTCCTTTTGGAGACTGGCATGCCTCAACGTGCGCACTTTACTACAGATTGCCCAACAGGCAGCATTTGCCCGAACACTCGAGACCCTGTCGATCGATTTTTGCTGTTTATCGGAAACGCGCCTGCAAGATTCAAGCTCCGTGCGATCCCCCACATACGACACTGGCGGCACATTCTCACTGCGCCTGTCTGGCGATGCCGCAGCTCCAAATGCCGGTCAAGCTGGCGTCGGCACCGTTTTGAGTCCCCGGTCTTAAGCTGCCCTGATCGACTGGATTCCAGTCAACAGCCGGATGTGCGCCGTTGGATTAGCTGGCTCGTTCTAGGCTTCGAAGTCGCGCGGGGACATACGGTGCTTCTTTGTCCTTGCGGCTTATGCCCCCACAAACTGCAGCCCTGATTCGGTGAAAGATGATTTCTATCACCAACTTAACAATCTCCGTTACAGAAGAAGCACGGATACTGCGGTGCTTGCTGGTTATCTAAACGTCCAGGTCGGAAAATCATAATCTAATGAGCTTCATCTGGGCGGCCAACATGGTGTAGGCTCCCGTACTGATAACGGTGAGCGGTTGCTACATCTGTGTGAAGATGCTCATCTCTTTCTCGCGAGCACTAACTTTCGACATAGCACCCGCAGAAGAGTGACTTGGCGCCCTTTAGATTCCCCTTTAATCCCGATTTCATATGAATTGCATAATATGATATTTAACATTACACTATCTACCTTTTAATTTTTTGTAGTACAACTCTTCCGTATCTTACCTTTGGTATTGCGGCACATTAACTAAGGTATGTTTCTCACCCTCGTCTAACGTGTATTAATGACGTTGATGAGGTACTGTTGCTGAAGTGTTCCAGGACGTGGTGGGTATTCGCCTGGCAAGCGTTCTCCTTATAACAAGTCACAAATGGCTATTTAACAACACTGCGACATGGCGGATGTGACTCGCAACTAAATAAAGTCACTGACCATTCCTGAAAGTCATTGTACTTCAGGGGTGCAACGCCCTCACATCGCCCTGCTGCATTGTAGGTTAGATCCTTATCAAAGGCTCGGGGTAGGGCCCCCTAAGACAACCCTCTACTTCGGCCTGGGCAACCGAGTAGTATCACGCCCACTGACGAATCATGGACCACACTGCTTACTACTGCTCTTGCTGTGCCTATCATCTCTGCTAACCCAACTGCTCAACCTCCACTCACAGATCACCCCACCTCCCGTCCTTCACCTATATGTACTCTTACGTCTTCTTCTGTCACCGTCACAAACGACCCACTTCTCGCAACAGCCAAACTCCCAGTTTTCACTTTCTTGCGATCGCAGCTGCCTCTCACTCCACCGAAGCTCCAGCTCTTCTTCGACCTGGTTCTCCATTCATCCTCGCAGCGTTTAATGTTCGAACTTTGATGCAGATCGGACGACAAGCATGTCTGGCTCGTACTCTTGAAACGCTTTCGGTAGACATCTGTTGCCTTTCAGAGACCAGATTACAAGACTCTAGCGCCGTCATCAGAATGGTGTTTCCGGTAAACCCTGACGCCAAATACCGCTTGCGGCTTTCCGGAGACCCAGAAGCTGCCGCCTATGGCCAAGCTGGTGTTCGGGTTGCACTGATGTGGCTGAATCAGCTCTGCTTGACTGGATCCAAGTCAACGGTCGGCTATGCGCAGTCCGATTAAGAGGTTCATGTAATGTAAGCAGTCGTCAAGACGTTAAGCGTGCCTTGTTTCTCGTCTCCGCCTACGCCCCTACAGACTGCAGTCAAGGATAGATTTTACCATCAGCAGCTACATGAACTTCTTCGTTCCTCCAAATGGACTGAGATAGTCTGTTGCGGGCCCGTCAAATTTCCCCGCAAAAAAGCGCCACAAACTCCACCGTAATAGCTGTGGAAAGCTGGGTCCAATTCCTCCCCACAACGTAGCAGTTTTCAGCCACTCCGAGACGCTGCACAACTGCGCACCTGTTGATAATGTTCTTTTACAAACTACCACTCAGTCGTGGTAGCTATCTTCCCTAACTTAATGACCCATAGCATTGGCTGTGATTTGTCATTTGTTGGTCGTAAAAGAGCCTTTAGAGGACCATTTGCCTTGCTTCCTCTTCGCCGTAGTTGGGAGTCTGTCGGGCCACGTGATTTTGTGTGCGTCGATAGCCGGGCAGCGTTCGCGTCTAAGTCACTAGCGCGCGTCTACCGTAACCCCCTCTCGTGTGCGTCCGTTCCGA